TTTTTTTTTTTTTTGAGCAGAAATATATTTCACTTGAATTAAAATAGTCTAGCTATGAAGTTTAATAGATAGATACTATCAGTAGGTTTCTAGGAAATTTAGCAGCAAAAATGATCACACACAAAAGTAGTATAAATTGGACAATCACATGCAATACTACACATGTATACATTGCGAGTGCAGGAGATTTAGGTAAAATATAGCAACTGAAGTTAAAAATTAATGTCATTTAACATTTCATCCCTATGTCAGCTCCAAAAGTTTGGATTGGAAGAATTCCATTTCAATTGGTTTCAATAATTCTACAAATAATGAGTGGCTACATTACATACTTTTGTAATTCATTTCTTAATAGTTACCTAATGAAATTGTTGTCCTTGAAATCATTAAGAGGATGCATTATAATAACATTTTCTTAATATTTTAAAACTAGTAAAAAAGTTTTTATTTCCTTTGATATCATGGTAATGCTTCAAAACACTTCAGGATACGTAAGGTGCTCTTGAAAGCCAATTTGAAAGAGCCCACAAGTTGTATTGCCTTAAACGTGTATACTAGTTTGTCACACTGCACTGCTCAGTCTATTAAAACTTGACAAATAGCTAAAATTTAGATGAATTAATAGAAAGATATTTTCAAGTATTTTATCTCAAAAAATACATACTAAATAAAACAGTTAATTCAGAAATTGTTGGGCATTCACAACATAAAATTAGATATTGGGAAGTCTTCATACATAATTTTATAATAGTTTAATAGTGATATCACAAAAGTTGATCTGCTAGTAGGTTATCAAAAGACTGTGCTTCCACTTTAGTATTTATTTAAATAGAACAATTGCTTAACTTCCAGTATCTCTAAGCCAAGTGATGAAAATATATTTCTGAAATCACATGTATCGAATTGTCAGAGCCAAATTTAAATGTCTTTCCTCAGAATGAAAATTCTTGAATTACACATTGTAATTAACAATTCTAAATGTTGACTCATTCAGATAGAAGCATCTTTTTTGTAAACTACATAACATGATTATATTCAGTTTATAAAATATTTTGCAATTACAAAATATTTATAAATACCTACTAGCAACAAAATGTAGGCCTATATTACTCTTCCACATATTTTTTTATTTGATAAAGTTTTTTTTCTGTTTTATTATTTTGCAAACCCATTATCCTGTACCTCTATGTCACATATTTTTGTTCAAAATATCTATCACAATAAAATCTTAAATGGGAATTGAAGGATATTTTTATCCTAAAAATTGGATATTTGATATACTACTGAAACTGTGCTTCCATTCTCCCACATTTTCTCTTTCATTCAATGTAGAATTACAGATTTGAATTTCAATTCTGTCAGACATTCTAGAATAGCAAGATATTTTCAAACTAGTTAGAATGTCTGCTAAGATAGATATCAGGTTTAATATTTTTTTTTAAAACCCAATCTCTTAATATTCTAAGACAACGATAAGAGGTTGCTAGAATGTATACAGAATTTACAATGTACAATTTATTAAAACGGATCTTAATGTACATCCAATGCTTTCTTAATTATTTTCATATAGTATTATTCATGAAACTCATAATTGCTTCTGCTAGGCATAAATATGACAGTTTCTATGAGAGCTATGTTACTGACTTATTAAGAAATCAATTACTTGTACACATAAGGCACATGTTTCTTTAAAATAATTATAATTCAATATGTTTAACAGCAATTCCATTCACATTTAAATTATGGATGTTATTGTAAGAAAAGAAAAGAAAAGAAAAGCAATCCATCTGTCATTTTAACAAAGCCTTAATATTTGATGAGATATGCTTTGTACAAGTCAATGACAATATCTCAAAATATTTTAGAAGATATAATTATCATTTCTCTAAGAGAAATGAATAAATGTTAATATTTCTTGTACAATAAAGTAAGTTTTGTGATTCCTTAAGTTTTTTTGACGACCTTCCTATGGTTTCTCTCTTCCCAGTAAGTGATTCCTTCCCAGTTCTCTCACATCAATTAAAACCATAGTGCTCTCTAAATGAACAAAATGTTTTAATTTACAGAATAATTGTAACAAGTGCTCAAATAAAAGACAAAACAAGAATTGCATTGGCAAGTCTTCAGCACATTAGTGTGAAAAACTGAGTTACATTAATTATGCATGTAATAACCAGGAGAACTGCTAGTTTATCTCATATTTCAGAAGTGACAACTTTCTTTTCATATTACAACACTAGGTTTTACATAAATCAGCATAGAAGTAATTAAAAGTTGTTTCATTTTGTTGGTTAACA